CTGGCCTGTCGGAAGGGCACCGTCGTCTGTCAAGATGTACTCAGACGCATGAAAGCAAGGATATAACCAAGCCCGTCTCTCTGCAGGAGCATGCTGCGTCCCAAAACATTAGGCTTCCTTCCTATGTAGCATTCCTTCCCCCCCCCCCGCTTTGGATAGGCGTCCCTTTATATCCTACCTGCCCCTTTGGAGCGTCTATAGCTTTGGTCTGTGACCATGCTTTTCATTGTCACTGGCAAAACACCATGGGAGGCTATAAAGTTCTGCTTCTTTCAGCTCGGGGTGACTGTATTTTTCTCTTCTTGGGAGGTGCATAGCTTGTAAGAAAAGCTGGAGACCGGCAGTTAGCTGCCACCTAAGGGCAGCTGCTGGCTCGCTGTACAAGCCACCCAAATGCTTTGTGCCCCTTGGCCTCACCGGGTGTTGTCAGGGGACAGTAACCAATACATGGTGGTGAAATCAATGTAAAAGGGTGAAATGTTGCTACCCTCTCCAAAAGCGGTCTAAGCTAGGAAGTGTAGGGCCTCCCAACGGCATGCTTGAAAACATCGATGCTTGAGAATCTGTTTCAAAGAGGAGGTAGGATTGAAACCATCATTGAAAGAGGTCTCTTCAAGCTACCTGCTCATCTCTGCTGGCTGATCCTATCTCGATGGTGGCTGATCCTATCCTGATGGTGGATACAGGCACGAAGTTGCTTGCTGGAAAACAGCAAGAATGCAGTGCTCTTCCGGCAAGGGGGTGGCCATGTGTCCAGACAGGGGTTTCTTGCAAACTCAGGGACAGTAGCATGGCTGAAAGGAGATGCCTATGATCATTATCTGGGACTGGAAGACTGTGGTCAAGCGTTAAGAAAGGAAGAGGCCAGGACAGGAAGTTAAAAGGAAATGTGAAACTCTCAGACTCCTTCTCCAAGGTGACTCTCATCCTGACCTCTTTTCCAACCACCTCAGTGGGCACGTCTACACTGTGCATTAGCTTAATCACACTGCGCAGCAGCGCGGCGGTTACAAACTGTGCTAATAGCCTACTGCGTAGTGTTATTAGGCTAATGCACAAGTAAGCATCACTAAATAACCATGTGCCGGTGCGACTGTGCAGTAGCTCTAGTTACTGTGCATTTAGTTAGTACTTTATTAAGCAAGCACTAAACTAAACGCACAGTATCTAAGGTGCATTAATGAACGTGTAGACGTGCCCAGTCAGGATTGTTCCAAGAACGAGCTGGGTAAGCCAAAAGGAAGTCTCAAATGCCGCTTCAAAGCCTGCTTTTTTTTCACTTTCATGACGGCCCAAAGGAAAGTCTGAATTTCCAGGGCATTACTACCTGCTGTCTCTTTGCAGTAACATGGTTACTTTTTGCCCCTAGCCCCACTGTCTTCAACAAAAGCTCCTAGAGGGAGATCTCAAGCAGGTTTAAATGATGCTAGAAAATAAAATAGAGTGAAGATGCCTGCGTTAACCTTTTGCACGTCTCTATCCAAGCAGCTCAATGTACTTTGCCAGCATGAATTGTTTACTACACTTCACAGCTCCCACCGCGGTGGATACATCATGCGCTCCTCATCCTATTGTCCACTAATCTGCAAAACTCTCATAGCGTTGGCATTAACATTCTTGCATGGAAGAGAATTTGCATATTGATGGGAGAGAGCGGCCAGACAACCCACATTAATTGGCTTCAGCATTCAAACCATGTCATTTCATAGTATTTTATTTTAAGCTATTCTCTTCTGCTCTTCTCTGAAGCTGTGCTAAACATGCATTTTTTTTATTGCAATAATCAGGACAGGAGAGAAGAGTAAGTGTAGGTACCCACCCTGCCTAGGAACCGTATAAGTGCGATTCTACAAATAATACAAATGCCAAATGCTGCATTTTCTGGGGCTGGAAAGTGACTAGTCAATTAGAGATTTGCATTCGGCACAAGCTGGGAAGTGGGAATCACCCACTTCAGCGACTGAAAGCCTAACAGGTGGGAAGACAGAATCTCATTACAGCCATCACTTAAAAGTCTACTCCATTGTCCGTCTGAATGAAGCAGTGGCATCCTGGAGACATCCTGGAGACAATCGTTGCAGCTCATCAATGCTGCCTTTTGCAATCTAGTTATTGGAAGAAGTGTTCATTTGGTTATTGGAGTAGCCATGGATAGTCTGGGAACACCCAAGCAGTAGGCCTGTGTGAATAGGCAACTATTCGATTCAGATTCGGCCGATTCAATTCGGAGATTCGAATTGCTTTTCCGAATCGATTTGGAAAAGATCTGGAGCCGATTCAGAGAGATTCGGCCATAGGGTATAATGGAGAAGCAATGAAATATCTATAACTTTGTTGTCCTCATCCCCTACAGCCTTGGCCCAGTCCACCACTGTAAAGGACGGCAGGTCAAAATAACTTAATAACTCATCCGAACTAACTCCGAACCCAAATTGCGATCTGAAGCTTTGCATAGCCCTACCAAGCAGTTTGAATGGTAAGGACACACAAAATCCATGTCTAATCCAACAGCACTAAGCACCTTATATCTAGCCATGCCACCTTGTGCTGTGAACTCACAGCTAAGCACAGCTGGATCTGGTCAGATGGAAGGCAACACACACAAACCTACTGCTGGATTCATTTCCTGAGCATGCTGTAATCCTTTCACCAGTCTGAGTCGACTTTCATTTTTCATCCGCTCCTAGAAAGCCTGAACTGAACTGGTGCAGCCGTATCCAGTTACAGCATCATGGTAAGAAGACACATGCAGCTCTTTTCCCCACTTTGCCAGCACATTTCAGTGTTTCTCCAGTCTTGAAACAGGGTTTGGAGCAAGACTTTTCCATACTACAACCATCTCATTCTCCATTACCGCAGCATCTTCGCCAGGAGCTGACATGAAACCTCAAGGAACTGACCCGTTTTCTTTCTAGTAAACCTAACCATCCCTTGGCTTGCCTCTTTATCACTGAGGAAAAATGAAGATAGAAGGAGAATAAAAGAGAAGTCTCCACTCCATGTTAGACGGTGATATAATCTCCTGGGTTGCTCCCTGTCTGTTGGAATATTGCACCCACCTCCTTCTTTGGGGACAGCCAAACTGGACCTGCATGCTCACCTCAAATGGCTCTCCCAGGCAAGCAGCCCCGTGGACTCCCTGTTGCAGTGTGGGAATGAGAAGCGGGTGCCTTTCATAGCTGAAGGACGATATATGGTGGGAATCTATTGTTTCTGTCAAGTGTACTGCTTTAGCCCAGCCAGCTTGTCTTCAAGGCTGCAAAATGAAATCCCCCAAGAGAACAACCAAGGGAAAGGGCCAGCTCACCAGAGTCAAAATGAACACGGTTGTTGTCAGATGCTGCTGTGCAAATGCACATGCAAACTGCATGTGCCCAGACAGATGAACACACACGTAGGAAGAGTACGCTCAGATTAGGTATACAGCCCTTGTTGCTCTTGGACTGTCACGTATCCGCACAGATCCCCTTCACTATAAGGTAGGGCAGTGCCGGGCACCCAGCAGGGACAAGGCATGTGTCTGGCTTTGGTACAGAGATTTCTGTGCCAAGGACGAGTCCTGACTGAGCGCTGTTGGGGACCGGGGCTGGAGTCCACGTGTCTTCACGCCGGCTGTTGTTTGTAGCAGGGCTTTGAAGTCTGCATGCGAGATCCTTTGGGAAACAATTGTTTCCTTTCATATTTGTACAGTGAAACCAATCCAAAGCAGCCAGAGGATAGTTGTGCAATCCCAGCAGGGTTTAGGAGCAGAGAGACATAGGGAATAGGACAGGAGGAAGAGACAAGACCATCATGTCTAGACCCCTGCTGTCATAGGCAACCACGTCATCCTGCCCCATTCATAAGCTACCCAACCCTCCTACGCATAGAGGAACAAGATACCCAGCCAAGACCTAGCCCCACTCCCTCCCGGAGCTACTGGGTTTGCAAATCCTGCCATGAAAGGGGTTTGAAGGAATCCATCACTCCCAGACCCCACGGTGGACATTTTGGATCAAATGCACTGAATGAGCATGCTTTAATATCTCTTTTTGCACCATGTCAGGGTCAGAAAGCCCTGTTAACTCTTCTCGCCTTAGAGATCTTATGCACGGCCCCCTGATGCATCTTCTATTTTTAACTCTTTCCAGACAACCGCTGTATGGATAGAAGGTTTTTACCCGCTCGATCCAAACAATTCATAGCCTTGGCAAGCTTCCCTGGAGCAGGCAATACTTGGGCACGCCATCTCATCGAGCTGGCGACTGGCTTCTACACTGGGAGCTATTACTTTGATGGATCTCTCTACAACAAAGGTGAGAAGGGGCAAGTCATGGACAGGATCTTTGTCACTTCTGCTTATGGTGGCCTCTCCAGAGATGGCCACTTTCAAGGGTTGCAGAAAAAAAGGAAGGGAAGCGATTGAAATTTAGAAATAGCTCACTATGACAAGGGAAGGGAAAACACAGTATTTATGAGCAAATGAGCAAAGGGGCAAATACGCCAAGTTCTCTTCCTGCTGATGGGGGTGGTGGTTGTAGCCATGCTGGTCTAAGGACATGAGCAGACAAGGCTCTTTGGGTAAATGGGATATCTTTTATTAGACCAACTAAATAGCTGGAAAAATTGTCCTTTGCAAGCGTTCAGGCACAAACACCCAATGGTGAAAACCCACAGGGTGAGAGAGTCCGATTTAACCCAGTGCAGTTGCTCTAGAGCACGAGGAGGAGAACGTTCCCACGGGGCAGCCGGGCCGGATGAATCGGGCATGGGAGGAATCCTAGCTTGTTGCCTGGTTTGAGTGCAAGGACCAAGTTCTGGCATCTTGCCGCGACTCCAGAGGCACGGTTTTGACACTCATGCCAAGGTCATCCTCTCAGTCAACCAGCTGGGAACAGGCCACTCTGGGGATGCCGGCCACATCTCTCTTGGTTGCCATTGGCTCTAAAAACCATTGTGGCTTGACCCACCAGGCTCCAGTGGGTGTTTGACCTTTAATATGCCAGGTACTGCTGTTATGCCAGCATGCTAGGGGATGTATACCATGTTGGGCATGAGCTATTTTCTCCTGGGAAAAAGGGAAACCCAGAGGGAAGATGGCAAGTCATTCACACTGCTCCTTGCTTAGGCAGACTCATTTCTTAGTACATTCTCTTCTGCATGGGAAGTTTATGGGAAAACTGATGTTACGCCCATTGTTTCTGGAAAGTTTACGGGAAAACTGCCTTATGCCCATTGTTTCTGGCCCATGCAAGAGATTGAGACTTCCTACCAGAGATTGGGGTGCAAATTGCTCAATATTTATCACATTTTAACAATTTCTGCATCCTTCCCAAGATTTCCATGCGCGTCTATATTTCAGATGAGTTTTTTAAGCCTTGGTCAGAGCCACTGGATTTTGGTTGCAGTCAAACCTGGGGACTTTGACTGGGCCAGTGCTCCTGCTGGGTCTTAAAGATGGAGATTCGTGGCAAGAGGGTCTGTTTGGGTGAATCTGACATCTTTTATGAGACCAACTTAAATTCCCTTTACTGGATATGTTACCCCCTTGCTGTGTCCAGTCTTATCATGCTGTTGAGGATATCTGTTGTTTAACATGTCCCTGCTCGCGTGTTGATTTGTGTTGGTTACCCTTTAAATTCACGTCTCATTAGAGGCATTTTGATTTAATAACTTTTGGAGGCGAGTAAGCCAGTGCAGTTAACAATCCCAATCCTCCGAGAGAAGACCAGACACCTTCAGTAACCAGACCCAGCCTCACAAAGAAAGCACCATTGCATCAATCAATCAGAGATAATCTCCCAGGCAGTGAGCTAAACTGCAGAGAGTTAGCTTAATGATACAGCAAAGCCAAGCCGTACATGGGCTGCCCATGCCTAGAAAGCACCGTCATCCTGCATTAACTGTCAGATACAGGGAATGCAAAGGGTTGACTTGCATGGATTTGACAGTGAGGCTCCAGGAGGCACAAATTGAGAACCCAAAATAGCACAGATGCCTAGTGACAAAATAAGAGAGAGCGTGCCCAATAAAACTGCCACCCGGCTAGCAGGACCGTGCCCTGCAAGAATTAAACAGGAGCTAGGCCATCCCTCTGTCACTGTGCTTTCAAGCCTCTTGAAAAAATATCAGGAGCATTGCACTGCTGATCATCTCCCCGGCCCAAAACAGCTGTATCCATTTGGCACACTTCGGGGTGCCTAGCCTGGCACAGGGAAAAGGATCCTCGTTTTAAGATGTTTTGGATGCTTAGCAGAATCTGAGGACATGCTTGAAGCCAAATGTTTTAAGGGAGTTAAGGCAATGAGGGATAAGTCAGTCTTATTCTGGAATAAGCATGTCCACACACTGCTCCTGAGTAGTTACTCCTGACTTAGCGCATGTGTAGACAAGCCTTTAGGCTTTACACGGTACCTAGCATGAAGGGCCTGGAGTCTGGGCTGGTGGATTCTGCTAAAATGCAGCTAAAAAACCCCACCAGCCGTGACTCGGGCTCCCAGGTGCTGTGGCAATACAGAGGGTTTGCATTCGAGAAAGGACTGATGATGGATGAATGACAGATGGAAAAGAGGGCTAAATGCATATTGAATTTTATTTGAACTTGGCCAGCTCTGTTCACTCTAGTCTTGCAAATGCACAAAAAGGGAAACGAATTGGAGGAGAAGCTATCTATCTACCCGTTTTTATTATTATTATTATTATTATTATTGTTATTCAGATGGGGGAACAGGTATAGTCAAGATTGAGATTTGAGCAAGGATGCAGATCTATTTGCTTTTTTTTTTTTCCAGCCAGCTCACTTTTCTACCGCCACAGAACAGGCCTGTCTAGCAGAATACATGCTCCTCCAAATAAGAATATATCTGCTTTCTAAATGCAGCAAATCCTCTTGGCCTTGTGCTCTAAGAGGCCAATCTCTCTCTTACAAATTAGACTTTTTCAGAGCAAGTGTTGTTGCTTAGGGCAGGCATGGTGGCTTAGCAGAATAATACCGGCAGAATGTCAGCTCCCGAGGAGATGTGTAAAGTCCGCTCGCTGCCGCTGCTTGGTTCCCCGAGCATGTTTCTCCTTGGGCTGAATGATTTCAGTGGATATCCATCTTTTGTTCCTCTGTGACATGGAGAAATTATTTACCGAGTAAATAGTTTCCTCTTTCCCCCCTCCTTGCCCTGTGAGGTCCCCAGAGGAACAGCAGCCATGTTCCCCCAGTGATAGAAATGCCGACAATACGACTTGGCTGGAATTACAAAGAGCCACAGCTGGGCTCAGCGCAGGGATGGGCGGAGGGGGAGAAGTGGCATCTTTGGAGGCAAGCTGGGACCACGGGGAGCTGTCCTCACAGAAGAGGAGTTTCTAGATGCGCCGGTATTACCCGGTGAAGCTCACTGTGGTAGGACATAAGGAGGACTTCGCGGTTTACTTGACTAGCAGTGGCCTCCAAGATTAAATACTACAGTATGTCTTAACAAAAGGCTTTTGAAAAGAGAAAGAAACAGTCACAAAGCCAGCTCTAATACAGGGGAGGAACTTCACTGTGATAAGTTAATTCATCAATGCCTAACTCAGGTCTTGCTGCACATATCATGCAATCATTGAAAATTCAGGGTCACATCTAGTCCAACCCCCTGCTCAAAACAGGACCAGCCCCAACTACACCGTCCCAGCCATAGTTTTGTCTAGCCAGTCCTTAAAAACCTCCAAGGAAGGAGAGTCCACCACCTCTCTGGGTAACTTGTTCAGTGTTTTACTACCCTCCTGGTGAGAAACTTCTTCCTAATATCTAACCTCAACTTCCCTTGCTGCAACCTGAGCCCATTACTCCTTGTCCTGTCATCTGCCCCCACTGAGAGCAGTCCAGCTCCATCCTCTTTGCAGCCCTCCTGCAGGGAGGTGAAGGTTGCTATTAAGTCTCTCCTGTCAGTCTCCTCTTCTCTAGACTAAATAAGCCCCATCCCTCAGCCTCCCCTTGTAAGTCATGTCCCCCAACCTCCCAACTATTTTTGTTGCCCTCTGCTGGACTCTCTCCAATGTGTCCACATCCTTTCTATAGCTGGGGGCCCAAAACTGGACAAAGCACTCCAGATGTGGCCTCTGCAGTGCAGAATAGAGGGGAAGAATCACTTCCCTTGACCCACTGGCAACACACCTGCCAATGCAGCCCAGGATGCCATTATCTTTCTTGGCAACAAGGGTACTCACACTGTTCCCATCACTAGCTCAGCATGCAAACCCCAGAGCCAGACAAGACCCGTTCTTCTTGTCTTGTTATCCCTAAGGCCAGGTCTGCCATACCCAGCAGTGGTGTCTTCAAGCAGGCCATGCTGCCTGCTAAGCCGGAAGCACTGTAGCCATAGCTGTGTGGGCTAATGAGTGCTGCTGAGTGCCACTTAGCCTTCTCACTGGGTAATTAGCACACCTGCACGTGCCCTCTGGTGTCAGGGATGGGACGTTTACCTTGCAGGCATGCAGTAGTGGGGTCAGTGCCCGCTGCTGCTGGAGAGAAGGTACGGGCCAAAAGCCACCACCTTTATCTGTCGTGGCAATTCCCATGAGCGCCAAACACAAGAAGTATTCTTCCCATCATGTATTGCAGTAGTATCCTTTGGTGCACGGTGCTGTACAAACTCAGAGCAAAAAGGCACTCCCTGCCCCTGCCAGCTTACAGTGCCATGCTGATTCAGCTACCCGGCCTGCAACGACTGGGATGGGAGCGGGAAAGTGGGGGCAGTCCACAGAAGCAAACTCGGTACAAGGATCATGGACGGAGCAGCTCCAAGATGCCGGCCGGGCTCATTCAACACATAGATGAACACAGCAGTTTCCCAAGCAGCAATTCTGCACTTAGCTGTACCTACTGGGTCCCCACCTCTCACCACCTCTGCCCACTGCCTGCAGTGCTTCTTGAGTCCGTTCGTTCATTAGAGGCATGTATTTAAACTTCTTCATCCTGCCGTGTTTAAAAAAAGAAAAAAGAAAAAAAAAAATCACGCGCCACCAGAATCTACGAACTAATGATCTGAAACATTTTGTTCTGCTGGCTAAATATCAAACACTATTGCATGTTTATTCTGGGCTTTCTGCTCATCGGAGAAGGCCAAGAATGTATCCAGGCAACTAGTAGATTAGCCACGATGTAGCTAGATTGTGCAGCGTAACCGAGGAAAGCAAATTACGCATCTCTAATTGATGTCAGACATCCACTTCCATCTTATCTCTCCCCCTAGCTTGAATCATCTGCCGCCACCAAATTTCCCCCTTTTTTATTGAGACATGCTGTATCTCTTCCTCACGCAGATGGGCCGGTCGGTCATTGCCACAACTGGCATCTCAAATGAAAGGGATGGGGTGTCCAGGCAGGTTTGCATGGGGTGAGCAAAGCACGGGAGATCATAGCTTGGGTCATCAAGAGAAGAGGGTTTGGAGCAAATGCCATGTGTCTTCCTGTAAGGAGTCTTACAGCTGGTGGATGGCGGTGCCCAGGCAAAGCGACGGCGTGCGGTGAGGTGATGCAGCAGAAGAGAGATTCTTCATGGGGTCACATTCCTGTAATGATGAGGGTTTGCAAAGTAGCAGAGGCATGCATAGCCATGGCGGACAGTGGCGTAGGATTACCGGGGAAGACCAGGTGCAGGGAGAAGCGGTGACCTCTGAAGGGCCACCCACAGCAGACAGCTGAGCAGCTCGTCTTTAATCTGGCAACCAGCTGAGAACGAAGGGGGCGGCAGACCATCCTGATATGAAAATCCAGGCTGTACTGTACCAGCGCCCACATAGCATCCTAGCACCTCCAGTCTGCTGGAGCCACTCAGCCCCATGCCCGGTCTGCCCTGCCAGTTAGCACCAGTGACTACCCGGGGCCCCACACTTTAGGGGCCCCCCAAATTTTGCAACCGTTTTTTGGGGGGGGAAATTTTTGCAAGGAAGTGGCTCTCTTTGCATTTTAACACTTGCTTATTTATCTAATTCCCCCAAAGAATATTAAAAAGATCCACGATACATCGGTCATCAAGATTAAGCCTGTAAGGGGCCCCAAATGACTCTTGCCCAGGGCCCCAACAACCCTAAGGCCACCACTGTCCACATCCAGTGGCTGCTGGCCGCTTGGCCCAGCGGCGTTGCGCACAGAGAGGATGGGCCTTGTGTTGCCTGTTGCCTCAGGCAGCCCGCTACTCACACTAAGTAAAGCAAAAGTAATCATTAAATATATATAAAATTGGGAAAATGGAAACTTCAGAAAGAAAGATTTATATAGTGATAATCTATCCGTACAGGTGAAACATCATGATAATTTATTTTATGTCAATGATAAGAATTGCAATTTATTTTGTCATTTTTTGTACCAATAGTACCCTTTTCTTCTTATATTATGTACTATAGGTGTGTGTTTAACTGTATAACTATCAATTTAATACAGCTTTTCATCTATTGGGTCTGCAGAAAAGCAGTTGTGGTGGCACAGGTGGGCTGTGGAGGTTTGATAGCATGCTAGGGGGGCCTCAGGAAGAAAGAGGTTGAGAACCTGTGCATTAGGCCACACACCAGCCTGGAGCCAAGGTGTTCACAGCAGACCCCAACAGAGCGCTTGGTCCTCGTGTTGCATTGCATTTCCCCATGCTGTGCTGTGCAGGACATGAATGTGATGGGCTTGCTCATCTCCAGCTGCTAGAGTACACGTTCTTGCCATCTGGAAGGAGCGTGCCAATGGATTTTAACGTGCCAGCTGTTTTCCTCCCAAAATATTTTGCAGTCTGATATTTGCCCCCACCCGCCCCTCCTCCACCGCCTTGTTCTCTTCTTTCGCTCTCCTCGGGTCTTTGCATGTACTTATGCTCCTGGGCTTGTCTCTTGTTTGTTTGGCTTGGAAAGGGTTCAAAGGCGAGAGAGATCACTGGCGGAGCGGAAGGACCATCTGCATCAAAACCCATGAGAGCGGCCAGAAGGAAATCGAGTCCTTTGACTCGGCCATCCTGCTCATCCGCAACCCCTACAAGGCCCTGATGGCGGAGTTCAATCGCAAGTACGGTGGGCACATCGGCTTCGCTTCCCACGCCCACTGGAAAGGCAAAGGTAGGCCATCTCCCCCCGGTAGCCCGTGGCAGGAGGTAGGGATGCTGGCACGCAGTAGCCATGCAGGGACATGGTTGGGAACACGCGCAGGGCACCTTTACACGGGTTGTTTTGGGAAAGGTAATGGCTGTTCTCCACGTCCTCTGGGGACAGGGCAAGAAAGAACAGGTATCAGCTGCTAAATGGGAGATTTGGGTTGAATATCATACAATCATAGAAACTGAGGGTTGGGAGGGACCTCAGAAGGTCACATCTAGTCCAACCCCCTGTTTAAGGCAGGCCATCCCCAACTAATTCACCCCAGCCAAAGCTTTGTCTAGCCAGGTCTTAAAAACCTTCAAGGATGGAGAGTCTACTACCTTTGTGGGTAACCTGTTCCAGTGTTTTACTACCCTCCTGGTGAGCAAATTCTTCCTAATATCCAGCCAAAACTTCAAAGAGCACTTTCTGCCTGGGAGGGTAGTTCAGCGCTGGTCCTCCAGGGAGTGAGGAGACCCTTAGCACTGGAGGCCTTCAAGAGCATGCTAGATGAATGTCTGTCCAGAAAGGATTGGGTATAATGGACCCTGCCTTAGGGCAGGACTAGATGGGCCCCCAAGGTCACTTCCAGCCCTGTATTTTCTGTTTCAGTGCAAAGAAAGGAACAGTTGTTTCCCCCCTTTCCCAGCTGGGAACACCGAAGCACAGGAAAGGGAGGCTGCCCACGGCAGTCTGTGGCAGGGCTGGATGCAGAGCCTGGATGCGCTGGTTCCTGTAGCACAGTGTTTATGGCTACACTGGAGGCCTCCCACTCGCTCTGTGCAATGAGGGGAACTCCCCCCAGACCCTACACCCAACTGGGAATGGGTGGAGAAGGGGAACTCAGCCCTCTGCTTTGCAGCAAGTACCCCAGAGGAAAATGCTGTGCCCAGCTCTGGGAGACCCGGCTGGCAGAGCGATGGCCAAAGCTGGATGCTCCCATCTTTGCCTTTGCTCACCAGCTGGCCGATCACCATCCCTCCTGTTGGGATGCAAAGTCCAGCCTCTCCTGTGCAGAGCTGAAGTAGCATTTGAGGAAGAAAACAACCCTGCAACCTTTGCCCCTATTGTCTTCAACCACCCTGGACAATCGATCGAGGCAAAAGCACCCTCCGTGTTTCCCGCACGCCTACTCTGGCCCTGGGGTCCCACCATCCCATGGATCTGAACTGCCCGTAGGGGCCTCTGTGTGCTCTGCCAAAGTCGATCCAGTTCTCTAATTCCCACTTAGTGGAGCAGGGCAGGAAAACCTCCAGGGTGAGAGTTGCCCCCTTGGAGGCCAGAGCCGCTCTCAAAAAGGGGACTGACCTCACTGATTTACAGCACAGCAGAAATCCCCGTGAGACCTTTGTACTGCTTCTGGATAAGGCTCTTGAGTACCCGGCCATAAATCCTCTTGCAGCTTGATCGTCCTTCCCCTCCTGCTGGACGTTGCCCCTCAGCATCGCCTCCAGGGCAAACCCTGGCTCCTCCAGACAAATCAGCTGCCTCTTTTTTTTGCTGCGGGTGCACCCGGCTGCTCGGGAGAAAGTACCTTTCCCCCGCACGGAAACATATTGTGGATGGTGGTTAATTATAGCAATTTACAAATTGCTGTTGTGGAACTGACTTCATGGGAAAGAGTTAAAATATTTAGCTTGATTGAACATCTGCTACCCTTAATTCAGAGTTTATTTAAGGGGATCTTTGTTGGTGGTGTTGTTGCCGTCGTGGCTGTTATGTGCCTGGATTGCATTATTGCCATGTGCTCAGATGCTCACTCATTCTCTTGGCTTTTTGACTGGCACAGTCCAACCCCCAGTTTCAATCACTGCCAATTTGTGGGTGGCATGGTGCCGTTGTCGATACAGTCCTGAGAACGTGGCAGGGATGCCACCTGCCAGCGGGACTTTCCTGGCTGGCACCCTGCTTCCCAGACACTCCTCTGAGGTGCAGCTCCCCACCCCAGGCAGACCAGGGGAGTAGGGACTTGCTGTTAATGACCCGCAGCAATAAACCATGATGCCCTTCGATCTCTCTGTGGGGACAGTGTGATACACGATGGGAGAGCCCATTCTGCGCCCGTTCTCCACCCTCTTGTGAGAGCGAGGATCAGAGATGCTCACAAGCCTCAGCGACCCGGTGCAGAGGTGTTGGAGTTCGTGTTCACCAGTAAGTTCCCCCTCTAGGGAAGGTCCCAGCAGAGGTAATAGGAGTGCGAGGGCATACCGACTTCTTCTTTGCCATTGATTTTTGAAGGTTTGGAGGGGAACTCAATTGCTCAGTGGATTTCCTGTTGGCCAGCGATATCAGATGAACTGCTCTGCAAACCCAGCTCCTCTCTTTATCTGTAAAATGGGTAGAGCCCACGTAGTGGCAGTAGAAGGGTGACTGTTACAGAAATCATCCACTTCAAAGGCAGACAGGAGGGACAACCAGGCGGGTTCAGTCTGCTTTCCCTCTGGTCTTCTTTCTTGGGTCTCTGTGCTCGCTGGAATACCAAAGGATGGGCTTTTTGGCCATGTGGACAGCTATCCCAGACTATCCCAGGCACCCCAGGCTGTTTTCCTTCAGATCACGGCAGGAAGTAACAGGCTAGATTTTACTTTCCACTGCCCAATTCAACTTCTTTGGTGCTCACCTAGATTTACACCCACGTAAGATCACACAGGTCAGAAACAAACCAACCCCATCTCGTTATACTAAAGACCAAATGATACCTGATAGCTCTTTAAATCAAGGTCGGGTAACAAAAACAGTTGGCCATTTCTGCTGTTGATATTTGGGGATTGAATCCTAGGAGCTGTGCTTGTAAAGCTCTGCTTCTGTTTGTCTAGCACAGAGAAATGCAAGACAACCCCTTACCTGATCGTCACAAAAATGGTCACTTAAGCTCTTGTCTAGCTAAATTGCGAAGCTGAATGAGTGCTTTCCTATCTGTACCCATTGAACCTACACTTGAAAGCTTGCCCTGAATAAAACGCCATTCAGGGACAGTCAGTAGCCAGACATTCGTGTGCATGCATGTGTGTATGTGTGCGCGCACACATACACACATGCACCAGCTAGGAAGAGGGCTTGTGATGATTCACTAATTATAGGAATAATTACTTTTCAGAGAGACAGTAGAGAAAGAAAACCTCAGAGAAGCTCATATAAGGCACAAGAACACCTAGCCCCCCAAACTGAGCAAACAGCTCCAAAAAACTGACCATAAATTTCTTGTTAAATCCAAAAGCTTGTTTTTGATTTGTGTGGAAACCAAAATATACCACCTCCTTCTCTAAGGCAGCCCCATTTACCTGTGAGAGCAATCAACTATTGGAGCGACTTGCTGAGGGATATGGGCTCTCCATCACTTGGAGTGTGTAAATCAGAACTGGCATCTGTCTAAAAAACTACGCCACAGATCAAACCCAGACAGGGGATCTTGATGAAGTATTTACAGGGGAAAATTTTCCGGCCTGAGTTATGCAGAAGGTCAGACCATAATGGTCTTTTTTGGCCCCAACATCTATTCATCCGTGTCATCGCAGGACTTTTCAAGTTCACTTTCAATATTCCAGCACCTGAGCCCTGCCAGTGCGAGTGCTGGGGAAAAGTCCATTTTACACTGGCATATGCCGTTGGTGCCAGATTTGCAATTAGCACTCTGTTGCCTAGCTACAGGAATCATCCGGTCGGTGGGACAAAAGAAACCCAAGCAGCAATGCAAATAATCAACACGGGGCAAAGTGAGGGCAATTCACCTCTTATCCTGGGGGTGGGCTGGGGAACTCAATTGTATATCAGCCTCCTCTGAGCCCTGTGCTATGGGGGTGGCTTTACACATGCTGACTATTTGAATCCAACACCATGAATAACCTGCAGAGCAAACAGTCTCCTCCACAAAAATTCACCAGGAGTCACAACTATATGTACCCACATCACAACCCCCAACAGAAGCAGCACCTTCAATCGCTTTTTAGTTTAAATCATTCATTCAGCTCCATGCAATACCTGCTACCAACAGAACAGTCCCAAAGCATCCCCCGTTTCCAGGCCAGGCTAGCAAAGCAGGCAGCATTGCTGATGGCAAGCAGCAGAGTACAAGCGACTCCAGCAGAAATGGGGAAATATATCTTTGTGCCCTAGCCGGCTTAGATATACAGGACCTAATATTGCAGAGTTATGGGTCTGTCAATAGCTATGAAACAGTGCCGTGAAGAAAGGCGGCTTTCATTGCAATTGGCATTCATGTGCATTCGATTAATCTCTGCTCGCGGCGGCTTTGCTGGAAGGCAGAGAGGAAGAGACCTGGGCTCGGGAATCCGGCGCTGATTTGTCTTTTTTACTATGCATGATTTTTTGTTCTCCAAAGGGCTTGAGGGGAAAAGCTGGAGAGAAATACGCTGCCTGGCTCCCCAAAAGCTGAGTATAAAAACCAGCCTGCAACAAGCTGAGGGTATGTTTGGAGCCTGGTGCTTTTCGAACCAGCTCTTTGTGGTCCAGTTCAAACCCGGGAGCTTGTATTGTGTCCCAGGCTCCCTGCCAGCAATGGACTGAGGCTGGTGGAAAACCTACCCTTGCGTCTCCTGCCTAGTAGATTCAGGTCTCCGTAAATAATGCCTCCCGTGGTAATAACCCTGGCTCCCATTGCACTTGGGCTGGATTAGACCCCAGAGGCCTCTCGGCATAATCCTTTGTAAAAGGAGAAGCTGCATTACTCAAGCAGCAGTCGTGAGGCTGTTTTCCCAGCCTCCTCTGGTTTTTACAAGCCATTTCCACCATGCCCAAGCAGGCCTTGCCCCTGGGGTGCTATGGAGCTATTAATTCAAAGCACCAGGGTGAGGTTGAGTGCATTTGCTCCTCCGACAGCCCTTGATGGCAGCGAGGGCATGAGCAGTGCCTCATCCAGGAACCGCGTCGGCGGCCGCAGAGATGTAATATTGCTTATTCTTCCCACAGCAGTGACCTCCGGGCCTAATGAAGAGGGAACAGCCCTGAAAGGCAGGAAAGAGATG